CTGTTGGGGATGACTCACCTTCTGGCTCTGCATCTAGGTCAGCCTTAACATCATCCTGAAGAAACTACGGACTATATACATCTTTCTGATTCTTTCTCTTTCTCTCTCTCTCTCTCTATCTCTCTCTCTCTCTCTCTCTCCCCCTGTGGTTCTTGACCAAAGGGCCGATGATGGCCAATGATAAACAGGCGTTCCCCGTGATTTCAGCACCGCTCCACTGTTGGACCTGTTGGCACGCATTGAGATCAAGACACTGCCGCTCGGGCTGTGATGAGCGCACTGGCCGCTGTGGCGGAGGTCCCTGAGGATCACAGACCTGGACGATCCAGCAGCTCCAGCCGACAAAAGACGCAATGCAATCGCAATACAAAAATGATCATTGACATGGAAGGCTTGGCGGCAACATTCAAGGCTCTCTAAGGAAGGCACGAAAGTATCAGGAGTCTGCGGAGAAACTGCCGTGGTTGCAGAGCTGCCCACTTCATCCGGGCCACTGATATCCGAGAGCTGTTCGGGACTGGAGGTACCCTGCCCGGACACGGTGCTCTGCGATATTGATGGATCCTCACATCGGTACCGAATAACCAAGGGTTATCCATAGTCCATAGTTACTTGATTGTGCTCCATGGTTTTGAATGCTCTCAATTCATGGCCCACAAAGAACAGTTGTTTTCAGCCACAGGGAGGCCTCCAGAGGCCCAGGAAGAGGCTGTGCACGGTATGTTGTGAAGCCTTAGAACAGAACCAGAATGGGATTCAAGTCAGCTGACAATGATGGGTCCATGACTAAGAATGTCAAAGAACATCATCCTTGAATCACCTTTGATTGATGGTTGGTTCTTGCAAGCTTTGATGATGTCATCCCGAGCTCTTCACCAGTTCTCATGTCAACAGGCCTTGGCCGCTCCGAGTAACATGTCATGTGTGCACTTCATCGTACTCTGGGAACGTGGCGGATAGTAGAAGGACGGTGTCGTTTCATGATGCCTCCCGAGCAGTGACGTCACTGACTCTTCGACAACTATGGAATCCATTCATATTCGGACGCCAGACAAGGCTCCGCGGAGCAATCTTCCATAGTTCTACAAGCTTCCTATTCTTGAAATGAGTGACTTGGAGTTTCTCCATGTTTTATCATGTTTTGACATCTAGCCAACCAATCATAATCAATCCGCAAAATGCACAGAACCCGGCCATTGCGCCTGGTGGTCACGATGGGGCTGAGCCGGACCGGCCTGGGCTGTCTGCTTCAGCAGGTGTTCCGATTGTGCAGTAGGAAACTCCCTAAGATATCCTCAGAGCTCAAGCGGGTCTAAGTCATCCAACCGAATCTGTCCAAAAGTGTTCCCAAAACACGAGAAAATCTTTGGGACTGACAGCCAGTCGCATCCGGTTGCCATGCCGCTTCGTTCAAGTGCTTGTCAACTGTGTCTCAGCGCACCTCTGAGGGGGAGCCTGCCACCTCACCAATTGCCGCGGTGATGCTGGCAGAGGTCTCATCACAGGTGATGGCGACCTCCTGCGACGGTCATGAATCGGTCACTTGGCAGTCATTGCATACCAACCTACTAGCGATGACCTCCAACCGAGTAGCTTCTTGCTACTAGTGGTCATGCGATAGCGATAGCTACTAGTAGATCTATATAGTAGCTTCTTGCTACGAGTAGTGATGCCCTTGTTACAACATGTTACAACGGGCGATGGCCTCCAACATACTTGTGGCAGAAATCATCAGGCCTTGCCCAGCCAGGGGGCACATGCCGCCACCCCCGCCTACAGGGTGATGGATTTGGCGAGGCCAGCGGCGGCGAGGGCATGCGGCACAAGAGCCGCGCGGGGCTTGGAGAGGCCACCTCCTGTGGAAGGAGACGAGGGCTGGGCAAAGATGCCTGATAGTGCCCTGTGCAATCTGCTGTTCCACTGCTACTTCTGGTCGTGTATATAGGCCCATGTCTTTCTGAGCGACCTTCTTCACTCCCCTCAAGAAGCAAAAACTGCATAGGCAATGACTATATACAACAGCGAATGGGACGAGAAGGTAGGAGCCAAAAGGGAAGCACCACACTTTGTACAAAGGTCATTATAGAGTTTCCCATTTTGGCGATTCGTGTTGTTGTGGATCTTCATTCAAGCCATGCCCTTTTCGCCCTTGTCGAGCCCGCACATCCAAACGGCGAACTGGTGAAGGAGTGCGACATGGCTGCAGTGCCCTGAGATCAAAACTCTACCAAATGTCAGTCACAAAGCGCATGCGACGTGATGATGATCAGTTGGTCAGTTGGCTGTCCCTGTGCAAAAACCATTGAAGGCATGTATATACTGTAAGTGTACCATCAAGGCGTGCTTTCGCCTCCCAATGGGGTTGGGTGGATGGTTCAGAACCAAGCTGCACACTTCTGGTCAGCTGGATGGGCGAAGAGACGCGATGGGCAGCTAGGGGAGGCGTGCCGCAGCGCACATAAACCTCAAATGAACGCCCTGCTCATTCTTGTCTCAGCTGCTTGTGTGTTGAGCACGCCGACGTGGATGGCATGATTCGTCTTGCATTTGTAGGAGAAGGTGAAGTCTTGTGACATGGGTCAGTGGGAGGATGTTCATTTTGGGATTTATAGGGGGGTCTACTCACCAAATCCCGCATGGCATAATTGTGTTGCTTCCCTCGCAGAAACACCGCACCAGTAATCAGCAAAAAGGATGATGTTCTGTTCAATGAGACAACCTGAACGCTAAAGATCTGCTTTTCCTATGTCAGCGGGCTTCACCAGGATCCGACTGTCGAGTCTCCCAAGTGAGGCAGTGCAAACAAGCAGCATCGCCGGGTTTCAGAACTCGCGGCCTATGACAGGTATCGTCATGCATGCACCGACTACGCACAAAAAGCCGTTTGGTTCCCTCTACTCTAGCCGTTGGTCTTGGAAAAGGGGAGCACATCAAAAGCTTCCCATATTGCTTCATACTACATCCTTCCCGTCCAACATGATGCAAAACTTGCATAAAGCGCAAGGAAAATGAAAGGGTCACGTGTGAAACCAAAAGCGGGGTGCAAGTCCCTGACTGTACCCCACACTGTGGCGAATCTCCAAAGCTTAGCACTCTCTTGCCCTGCCTGGTCGGCACCGGCAGAGGGAAGTGCAATGGCACACGTGGCGGGCACCTTGAGATGACAAGCTCAAGACGAAGCGTCCGAAAGAATCTAACGCAGAAGATTCCATCGCACCTCCTCGAGGCATGACAACATGTGCCCACATGCTGCATGCTTTTATGCAAATAGAGGATGAGGCTTGCAAAAATGCACACTGAAGACTACACAAGAATTTCAGTTGTTGTGGCTTTGTACTATCACAAGTTGTCACAGGTTGATGGTGCTGCCAGGGTGCTGGCCACTTTGGCTGGAAGCGGGATCCATCATGTGCCAGCACTCAAACTTAAAAAAGAAGCGGGCTCTCACGTCTATTGATGCTTGCCTCCAATCAAGATCAATCTAGCAACCTGCAACGAAAAGGCAAATTAATGTCCGCGAGCGCAACCGGGTTCTAGGGCAATCTAGCTTACCTGCCGCTCGGTCGCTCGGCGAGCGGAGCGTGCCAACAGCCTCTTTTTTCTGGATATATCTTTCTTGAGCTTCTGCTTCTATCTTCATTTTGTGTGAGCTCGAGCAGTTTGGCAGTGGCAGTGTAGTGATCAAAAGTTATGTCGGGCCGGCAAATGAAAAGAACGGACCGAAAGAAAAAAGAACTCTGAGACCTGTGTCCGGTGAGCATGAGAAAAACTACACCTGCTTTAGGACAGAAAGCTGGAGGAGGAGCATTCAACCTTGTGAAAACACAAACATTTTGGATCCAGTCAGACTATCCACAGGTACAACCCTAAAGCCAAGCCCCGCCTAGTATTGGACCTCTTGGTTCGGTGCGCGGTCGGGAAACCACTCATTTCCTCCGAGACCCACCTCCAAATCCCCACTAGCATAATCACCTGAGGCTAAGGAAAATCATCTTAAATCGCTTGTGGCTTTAACCTTTATGGCTTAGCACATCCAATTCATCCAATCCATCATTTTGCCTAAGGTTCCAGCCAACAGTCCCGGGCGCGTCGGCACTGGCTCTGACCTCCATCCTTCCAAACCGTCCTGGCGATCGGACGCCAACGAAGAGCGAAAGTTGATCTGAGTGAAAGTGATGAAAATAAGGCTTGCACTGACCTACATCAGCGTATCTATATTGTATATGCAGCTGGGAAGTGTTTAAGATGAACGGTTGCAATTTAAGGAAAAGAACATTGAGAACGTCATGAAGTGGATCGCAGCCACTGTCACATAGGGAAGTTTCAAGCCCCTCACGTCTTCTTGCTTTGCTGCTCATACACTGAGAGTTGCGCACTTGAAGATTGCCCGAACGCGGTACGAATGCGCATGTTGGTCGTTCAAAAAAGAGCTGGATGTGGTACAGCACTGCCGATGTGTGTCGATGGGTTTCGGCATTCCATGCCCATTCACAGGGAAAAGGATGGAAAAAGGTTCTCCAAATCAATCTTTTACGTGTAAAAAATGACATTCAAATGCAACCGAACGTGTCAACTGCCAACGTGACACGGGGTGGACCCTGGAGGCCCACAAAGTGACCACGGTATTAGCTTGGTAGCAGCTGCAGCGGTCCCAAACAATGATGCTCGAGGAAGAAGACCGGTTGCGCCGGTTGAGCCTCACTCTCCGGGACTGCGACGCAGCAGGTTGAGTTTGCCATTATGCAATGCCCCTGCGCAAATTGAACAACAAGCCCTGTTGCACATTATGATTATGTTCCAATACATCCCCCTGCAGGTGGTCAATGGATTTGTCTTCTTGGGACTGCTTTCAATTTCAGAACTCGAGGGAGGGACTTCTTCCAAGCGCCATCCATCTCCTGGATTGCTCACAAGCGTTATAAAATGTCAACCAATGAAAATTTGTGAACACTTACAAAGCATCCAACGACGATCTACCAAGCCCGGCCGGAATGTTCGGGTCACCAGTGCAGGCAAAGTTGATCCAGGAGTTCATCCACCTCGAAGCTGCGAAGAATGGTACTTCGAGATACTTCGAGGATCTAGGAGGGACGGCACGGGTGAATGCATACCACTGCCAAACGACCTGAAGGGAACTAAGAGGGATGTCAACCTCTCATACTTTGGGGGAGTTTGATTTTGACCAAACATCTCAAAGAGGTTGCAACTTATGAAGTTGAAGGAGGCAACAAAAGAATGGGACAACACCCAGAAAATGGTCCTCAAGACTCAAGCCTCCAATGGAGCTGCATCTTTTTCCGCCACCCAAAAAAAAGCGGGGAAAACCCAGGAGTTCTGGACAAGCGAGGCACCCAGGAGTCCATGCATCTCAAAGGGACGCAAAGCCTTCAAGGGCGCAAGGCCGTCTAAGCATTCTAGTCGCTGTACAAATCGCGCGTGTCGAGCGCGCGCGTCTCCGGGTGGATTCAAAGCCACCATGTCACGACCTGCCAAGTCCTGGGCTGGCTTGCAGCCATGTCCTGGAAAATGCCCAAAAGGAATCGCACAGCAGCATGCTCATTGTCATGGCTGTGCCCGGGCCAGTTGAATCTTTAAGTTCAACCTCAACCTCACCGAGGGCAAGGCTGGCTGCAGCAACTCAAGCAAAAGCATCTTTGAGAGGACAAGTCTCAAAGGAAACGTCAAAATTAGAACATCTCATCTGTACAAAAATAGTAGGTTCACTAGCTACTGCTCACAGTTGGCCTTTGGCACACCTTGAAAGCTGGTTGTCAAGGTCCAACTAATCCCCGAGGCGCAGCCTAAGACAACCCAAGTGGCCCCCTCAACCATTCCGCCGACGCGACTTGGAAGTTCTTGGCGAAGCTAAGTGCAAAACTAGGCTGTCACCAGCGCGGGGGCTGCATAGGCGTGTTCCATTTGGACTTTCTGCATTGGCTCCCACGTCCTGAACTCAAACCATGTTAATTATATATACATCCGGCTGGATCATAGCAACTGAACCTTGGGCCCAAACAATTCAAGTGGTCTGGTTGACATCAACGCGAAGCAACCAAAGCTTGGGTGCTGCACACAGCACGAACGACGCGCAAGTCTGCACTTAGTGCAGGCAAGGATCCAAAGTTTATCCTGTGGTGTGGGATGCAACTCCACCACTTTCTGCCAGAATGGCTTTAGTACTGCTGTTTTCGGGCCAGCAGTCACCTCGTTTGCCGACAGGCCTCGAAGATCCTACGGCCTCCAAATCTCTATGTTGCCCTCTCCAAGAACACCACACCCTTTACACTTCACTCAGAAACAAAGAGACCACTGTCTCGAAGAAGGAGCCCTCTTCCGTTCCAACAAGAAAGGATAAGAAAAGGTAATCGCATGTCGCGTCACAGAGTTCTTCTCCACATCATACTCCATCTCAAACGCGCCCGCTAGCATCCAGGAAGCACGCTTCAGAAATCCCAGCCTAATGTGCATCACCGCGAACACGCCAGCCTTCTTGTCAGGTGAACAGCTGCATTACCGTCAAGGAGTACACATGACGAAACAAACAAACAAACAAACAAAACGCTCTCGAAAGACATTGGGCATGATATCCTAAATTGTTGCTGTGATTGATCGCGTCTGATCTGCAAAGCAAGTTACGCCATTCTGGCTGGTCGCCTGGGTTCCAATTTCAAGGGGGGTTCCAACAAACCAGGACCTTCCTCTGGCATTACTTGCTCCTTTCAGCAATTTCTCTCATAGCGCTGGAAATGAACTTTCTTCTTAAGATACCATTTCTGCGATCCTTCAACTAGGTTTCAACTAGGGTGCTCAAAGAGCTGGTCGTCATACTCCAGCGGTTCCACATCCTTCCGGATCTTCAACTGCAAACCTGCGTCCGGGGCCCATCGTCCATAGCGGTCCATGTCATGTATATAAATCATAAACAAGTGCATATACATATATTGATGCACATGTACATATACTCATATGCACAAATACATATATATATATATATATGTACATATACATACATAAAATATACATCTACATCTACATATACATATGTGTGTGTGTGTGTCTGTTTATTCCCGGCATGGCATACATCGAAGTCGAGAAAAGGCCCTGGATTAGCAAGTCTCCGCTACCAACACAATATCCTTCGCTTCCACACTGATGACTCGGAGTGTGTGGAGTCCCTGCTTGGCTGCCCAGGCCCATGATGAACTTCCAATTCTTCTGCTGGTGCCCCCTTCAAGCCAAGGACAACATGGAGCCCCTTCAAGTTAAGGATGCCTTGTAATATCTAGGGCAACTGGCAACTGGTGCCAAAACCTTACAGTGTATAGAAGGACGAGGAGCCTCGATCGCACACAGTCTTGCCAAGAGACGCTTCTTGTGTGGCTGATTCGGAACGTCACTCAAGGTAAAGCCACTCCTGCAATGCAAAGCGCAAAACCAATGCAAATACAACCGGTGTGCCATGCGTGCTGTGGAAAAACCACCGATTCTGGGGCATTGGAGGCCAAACCTGAGGCTACTATTCATTTCTATTCTATGTGCTTCCAGTAGTCCGACGCCAAACGCAAACTCCCCGAATTCCAACGAGTCCTGAAAATGATGCAGCCGCAGCTGCCCCCGTTCACAGAGTCCAAGTGGTCTACAGTGAGTTCAAAAAGATCGTGCGAGAGGATTTTCCTGTAGCCGCTGTAGCTGAGGATGCGCTGCGGCCACACAGTTTATATCAGTTTATGCTAAATTATTCCCAAAGGTGGCACACTTCCTCCGCTCAATTTTCATGATTCCAGGTTCTTTCCACAGGGGCGGATCGACAAAAAGCATCTATCTAGCTATCTAGCTACCTATCTATCTATCTATCTGTCTGTCTGTCTATCTGTCTGTCTGTCTGTCTGTCTGTCTGTCTGTCTATCTGTCTATCTGTCTATCTGTCTATCTATATATATATATATATGTCTATCTATCTATCTATCTGTCTGTCTGTCTGTCTGTCTGTCTTTCTTTGTCTGCCCGTCTGACCAAACAGTGTGTGACTGACAATTGAATCGCTGGATCAGTCCGTTCTCAAAAGGTTCCTGTATTGATTTTCTATCAGCCTTGTTATTACCCAAAGCCGCCCCAGCCCATTCAGCCCTTCTTGTACCCAGTCAAGATACAGCACTGCTGAGACAGGGTCGTTGCTGTCGTTCCAAAGAGTCATGTACTCGTTCTGGTACAAGCTCCCTGGCTTGACCCTGGCCTCACCGAGGTTCACGGAGGCTTGTCGACTGGCACCAGGTCAAACCAAACATCAAACCAATCGAACTCACGGCGTTGGGCCGTGCCGGGCGGCTGACAAATGCCCAGCCAAACACAAGCAGTAGACAGCGATCTCAACAGCCAGCAAAAAGTTGCAAAAAAAAAACTTTTACCCACAGCCTTTGGTTTGGGTCTGGCACACATGATCCTACAGGGCTCAGGGGTTGGCTTTAAAGTTCGCCATTGTGGACGGTCTTCATGTCTACACCGCCCACGCCAACTTGCGTGGATCCTCATCACGTGTCTATTCGGTGGCTTGCGGGGCCATGACCATGATCAAGGACCCCATTTTGGCGGTGAAAGCGCGACAAAAGCGTAGATCTGAAGTTGGTCAGGTCACTCAGCATGTCCTTGGTGGTGATCCATTCCACCTGGTGGTAGTTTGCTCCCGCGGATTGTCCTTGAAGAGGGGGTCCCGCACGCCTTGTCCAGCGTGGCGCCAGATATGGTTTGATGGCAGAGGGGTCAAGTTCCGTCAAGTGCCATATTTGTCTTTCACCCAAGTCGGCAGTCCGTCAGACTCAGGATCTACACCGCGTCCTTTGCGGCAAAGTTTAACTAGCGCCATTGACCTTGGCTTTGTCATTGGCTTCAACCAAGCGTGAGGAGCGACATCCTTCGAGACCTTCCACAAGAAGAGATTGAGGCAACGAAGGGTCGGCCTGGGCAGCACCTCGCGCCAGAACTCCACGAAGGGCAGATCACAATGGCTGAAGCGCACTTGGCGTTCGCCTTCCAAGAAGATTTTTGCCAAGGGTCCGGGGTCCCTGACATGAAGGATGTTCAGAACAAGCAGCACAAGTTGGGCATGTTGCGGACGAAGCTCAATGTTCCAATGGCCCTGCTCAATGGAAGCGTTGAAGTTCGGCCAGGTTGTCTACAAGACCTCCTGGATGTAAGCGAGGTACATCGTCGAGAGATGCCCCCGCGCAGTCGACTTTGGTTTGATGCGTCAGTCAACGACCTGGCCTTCGCTCTCAGTCAGGAAGAACCCTGGCCACGCAGGCCCCGAATCCTTGACAAATGGAGGCGAAGACACCGGCCTGCTGAGTTGGAAGGTGACTGTTGCGCCGCTTGCCGCTCCACCATGGACTTGCCCATGAACACAAGGCGCCAAGGTGATCAGCAAAAGCTTGTGGTGTGATGGGTCAAGGGACATGTTTTTTGGAGAGGTTCACAAAGCATAGCCACCCCCGCCGTCCTGAATTTCCGCTTCTACCACAGAGCATGCCGTGGAGGTTGGGCATCTCGACCCGGAGGAAATGCCATGCCATAATCCAATCATATTGGGGGAGGGACCTGGGTCAGCGCATAGCCACGTAGGCCCCTGGTTCTCCATCATCTATGGTCGCCTCTTGCCCTTGCCCTTTCCAGATGTGGTGGTGCAGCATAATATGATTTGTTGGGGATGGGGCTTGCTTCGCTGGACTTTGTTTTGGTGAGGTGCTGGCATGCATGGTCTTCACAAGGTTCTCACCACCCCCTTTCCTTTAGATTATCCTTTTGCCCTTCGGATAGGCAGGCCAATTTGGACACGTCGTCGGCAGGAAGTGCTTTTTTTTGAGCTTGGGATGCATTGCTGCCAGAAACAGAAAGATGTCCTCGGACATTGCATTGCTGCGCCCTTCTGGCCTTTACCACCCTTGCAGCCCTTGAAGCCATTGAAGGCAGCGAAGGTGCGGGCGAAACAGGCTTCATGCTGCTTCATGCTCAGCTTGAATGATCTCGGCAGCATGCTCTCTTCATC